GCCGAATGTTTGCTGAATATATTAAACAGACAAAGGGCATAGAATTTCGGTGCACTTGGAAACATATTGAACCAGTTAGGTATTTAGATAAATGAAATGTTAAATAAGTATTGAAATGGTTTGCACAATTTTAAATAAAAGTATTGAAATGGTTTGCACTATAACAATTGTGTCATGGAAGAAGATCGGTTCGGGGGCGGCAGGGTTATGGTATGGGGTGGGGTTAAAGCAAGACAGAGGACCCGTTTGATAGTGGTAGAGGGAAATCTCAATGGACAGCGCTACCGCGACGAGATCATCAGCCCTGTTGTTCTACCGTTTTTGCGTCGTCATGGCCCAGGCATTACCTTTCAACATGACAACGCCCGGCCTCATATTGCTCGACTTGTACAGGACTCTCTTCAACAAAACAACGTTAATATCATCCCCTGGCCGGCTCGCTCCCCTGATCTCTCACTAATCGAGCACATGTGGGATGAGATGGATCGGCGCCTTCGACGTCAACCACGTGTTCCACACACTCGAGGAACTTGGAAACATGCTCTAGCAGATATGGACGGATATCCCACAGGAATTTGTGCGAGACGAATTCCATGAGACGAAGATGGGTTGCTTGCATCGCAGCCAGAGGTGGTCACACACGCTATTGATTTGTAAATTGACATTTTGGCATGTTGATGGTTTTTTTTATGAAATCACGTATTTTCTGAAGTCAGTATGGCAAATTAAAAGATTTGAACACTTACAGAAGTCTTTTATCTGTTGCAAACCGAAATTGTTTCAGATTTGGTAAAAAACATAACTTTGCATTAAGTCTTATTCAATGTCACAGGAACTTTTGTTGTTCAGTATATTTGGAGAAGGCTACCGGTAAATGGACCACATGGTCAATCACCGTTGTGGAGGAATCAGCTAACATGTATGTACGTGTATGTAAACAAATGCATGATTTTTTTTGGTGAGCTGTGTGAATAAAAAAGAGACTTAATTGTTACGTATGGACTGTTATAATTATTAAATCTGTCCATTAAAGCCTTTAGAATTGAAATTGTTTAGAGGTATCATAAAGGTACCACATAGTCTGACGCACTTAGAAACTATGCAGAATAAAGTGAGCACAGAGTCGCTGCAGAACACGCAATATTTTCAACTTTCCTCACAGCGTAACAGCGATCGCGATCTGTTTCCTCCTGCCCTACATTTGCTCTGACCAAGCTTCCGGTGGAGGTTCATGGGACTCAACATTTGAACATGAATAATACAATATGTTGACGGCAATGCGTTTGTATGTTAAGAAAGGGAATGTATAACTCAAACATTGTCCAAAAAAAGGACTATAATGTTGTTGTTTTTATAATAAACGTTCAGCTAAATATAACGTGCCTATTACGACTAACTGGTCCCTTTAATTTAAAAGATGTATTTTGTCTCCGGCATCCTTGTCTATGTAAGAAAATACAATTCTGTCGTGTAGAAAGCTCCTCTTCAATAAACATTCAAAAAACACAATTTTAATACCAGATACCTCAGGTGTCTGTCAATGATACATGTTTGTGATGCGAAAAAACGTTGTTTTCATAATTATTTCAAAGTTATCTATGTATCGCTCAAACGATAAAGTCATGTATCATTAAAAAGAAACATTAAATAAGTATCTGCTTGTGTGAGAAACGTTTAAGTTTAGCGATTACAATAATGATGACGAAAGTTTGGGTGGTGTGACGAGTCCAGGTTCTTGAGGTCAGCTTGATAATAAAATCATAAAACATGATAAAATGTTTGTCTATTTAATTGCATACTCCTCTTAAAAGCAGGCATTTTATTGACAATAAAATGATGTAATTAAAATCCAAGCTGTATACAGACCATGGTACAACTGCGAGTAGAATGGTTTATTATTGGGAGTTGATTACATTTAATACAAAACTGACGGTCTTAGGTATACAGGGACTGCTTCCACCATTACGCATGCGCGCGTTGTTTTGAGCAATGTTATACTTTGTTCAATTTAGCAAGATTATACCTTTGCTAATAACAAGATATATGCAGATGAACACATGGCAACTTTCTCATAATTATTGTTTTATGGTAAAAAAAAATACACAATAATGTCAGCACACGTTTTCTCACGTAAACATATTTCTCAAATTCTAATCATACCATTCTTTGACAAGGCACTACACCGTCAGTGGTTAAGCTATTTAGTTCATTTCTTTTTATTTAGGAGGGATGACATTGTAGATTATGAATCCACTCTTAATTCAATACCGACCACGTGGTCCCTTTACCGCTAGCCTTCCCCATTTACTCTTCGTGTAAATGTAGCTATATTATTCCTCAACTACATCATATTTACTGAAAGGTGAATGGTTAGAGTGTTTGATTTATGTACAGTGGGCCTTGTCAGTACTTTTAATGATACATATATTAGGTTTGATGTATCGGATTCATTGAGTGAGTATGGTGTTACCCTGCTTTTTGCAATATCACGGCTGGGGACACCTGAGATGGGCTTTACATCATGTACCCATGTGGGGAATCATATGACAAAAAGCTTAGCTAAAAAGTAATGTGCACTTTGACGCCACATTCAGCAATACTGCAGCTCTGTGACGGCGGCCTGGACCGCACAACCCAGTGACTGATGTTATTGTCAATGATCCACAATGGCAGGGTACGATGGCACACAGTTAACCAAGTCGCCGAGCCTGTGCACCCATCGATGTAGCCGCCTCTTACGCCCAACGTGTTACCGAGATATGGTCCATCCCCGAACACTCACGGTGCTTATTACATTTGATATGCTGGAAGTATGACATTGTGGCATGTGGATTAACATATAATAGGTTTGGGACCTGTTTTGACTTTGAGGCGCTGTACATGGCATGTGACCTTCACAAACACCAATGGATCTTATTTACGTTATTTAAAAAGGAACTTTTCACAACATCCTATTTATTTCCATTTTCGTAGATTCCCTGAAATTGCTGAGTACTCGAGCTTACAATCCAAGACTTAAGATCTGATTTTGATGAGATTGCCCAAGGCTGCATGACAGAGGATAGAATATATCTACATATATATATATATATAGGTTTTAAAGTTATTTTTTATAAGTGATTTTAGCACTGATTCGAGGCTGTTTCATGCAGAATTTGTCACTTGCAATATGTCATTAATCTGAATCCGCCCAAAAAATGTTATATTTACGTGATCACATATATGTCCATATTATATGTCCATATTTAGATTAAACTGCGTAGAAGTTTGGATAGCATTCAGTGGGGTGCCATCTTCCGGAGGGAAGAGAGTTAACTGACTTCAAAAGTCCAGTTTCCACCCTTGCCGAACGAGGCTGGAATTCCTGGGCTCGACCGTAGCGCCATCTGTGGCTATTACGAGTTATGTCCCGTCCATGCCTCTCCTATGGACCAGTCAGATTCCACCTCTCGTATCACTTGCATTTGCTACAAACAAAATGGCGGCGCCCAGTCAATACGATCTGATCGATAATCAAGATCTATATTGTGATAAAACGAGTCTTACATCGCGAAGTGTATCAAATCACTTCAACACCTTGATTAAAAACATTAAAGGTTTAGAAAATATCTGTTGACAACGAGTTGGCGGTGCACATGTTTTGCAAATCCTGCAATCGACCGAAATCTGCCTGACAATTTACGAAACGGATTTCGATTTCGCTGCGCGATTTTGATTGGACTATGCATAGACTCGTTAGTCCAGCCAAAATGAAACTCCATAATATCAGTCTAGTTCTGCAATTTTGAAAACTTAGCTTTTATAGTCAGTTAACTCCCTTGCCTCGGGAAGATGGTACTCGATGCAAGTTTAGCGCATTCAGTAGATATAGGTAGACAGGAGCCTAGTCTACGCTGTGAGGAGCTTGAAAACTCGAGCTTGATGACACCTTCGGTAACATCTCTGCCACCAGCGTAGGCCCTCTAACCCAAAATGTAGTGACCTTTATACTTTCGTTTATGTCTTTGGGAATGCCATCATAGTTCATTTTGAAAAGATATAAAACTGGGGGGGGGGGGGGGGGGGGGGGGTCAGATTGGTTCGAGATTGCAGACTAACGGAAGAATCAATTCGTCACCCCTTCCGTAACCTGGTAGTAGACTCGTGTTATGTGCGAAAGTACAACACACCAATCATAATGCGCGTATGACTTCAAGTACTTCGGTCAAAGAACCCTCAGGAATAATTATTGATTTTACACATGTCTTGCATTTAAAAATATACCCAAGATACAGTTAAGTGTGTTCAATTATACTGTACTGTATGATACTGTAAGTTCCGATGGGTTTTAAATAGCATCATGAATATATATGATATATGGGGAAATAAACGTGAATCATTACGCAACGAGTTGACAATTTTTTTAGCTACGCCAGTTTGTGCTCAGGCGGAACCCAGTAGCCAAAATGGTCACGAATGGGACAAATCAACCAAATTCCCCTTACTATTCCAATTGCATGATAGTTGTAATGAAACAGAAATTCACAGAGACAAACAAAGACAATAATTTAGCAGGAGTAAGAGTATTCAGCGTCAAGGCAGTCATTAGTCCTGCACCATGACCGTGGAATATATTTATTTTATGAAAAGCAAGTCTAGCCAGCTCAAGCTAGCTCTGAAATCAGCATAGGGATTGTTTTATTTTTTTTAGAGTCAAGAAAGATATTGTGTAATATAAGATTTCAGAGACTTAATGTTAGTCTATAGCAGTCATCAGCGATAGCATATAGATTGGTTCCCGGGTCCTCCGCTTCGTGTCGCTGCTCTTCCTCTGCCTTCCAAGTCTGTCGCAGGAACGAACGGTAACCATTCTACGATAGTGTAGAGAGCTCCGCGAACGGGCTATCGCTGTGAGGAGCTTGATTCTACTACCAGTCGCATATTTATTTATGTAATATTTACTTAATTATGTTGCACATACCGTCCCAAATACCTATTTGTTTACCCAAATCACACTTTGATATGGTTTTATGAAAGAGTTGTAAATTAGTCTTTTTGAACGACATGTCCCAAACGAATCTCCTTGGATGTAAACAATATGGCGACCATCGGAAAGACATCTGCTGTTGACAGAAAAACAAAGTCAATTTCTTCAGGTAGTTGATTTCACTCAGGTCATAAAAATGGTAGCTGATGCACATGCATGTATTTGTTGCTGCTAAGATAGCAGCAGAACACAATGTAGCTGAGGTGACTCACTGTATCCCTTCACCCGTTCCAGACCAACTATGTTTTTTGCTATTTTTTAGAGATTTCAAACGTAGACCAGAGCTCCGTTCGTCAATGCGATCTTAGCGCTAAGATGATCGTAAGTCCTATACTTTAACAAAGGTTTACGATCATCGTAGCGCTAAATCGCTTTGAGGAACGGGCCCCAGGTCTTTTACTCAGATATGATACGATGAAGATCTTACGAAGGTCGAGTCTGGTGAACACTTAGCTAAGGTACTGGTCATGGACATTTGTTTTGGGTGGGTAGGTAGGGTCTTGGGACTGTTGTCACATTTATAATTAATTAGATAAGTTAGACCAACGAGGACATTGTCTTCTGGTAGTCTAACTAATGATTTCAACAACACAGAGTCCTTATGCTAAATCATAGAGTTAATGAAGTAAAATGTTATGTATCCTCGTGTCATGGAAGTTCGATCACTTACGAAAAGTCGCTGAATATTCATAGTAACATTCATATAATCTTTTTTTCAAATATCTTACCTGTGAACTTGTTTATTTATGACAAACATTTCCCAAATCCACGTATTTCCATTGAAATTTACACTCGCGGCATGGCCGCCCTCTTACTGTCAACAGAAGTGACCCAGAAAGCTACGTCACACAAGTTCGATCATTTGATTGGTTGGCTTGTCGCATAACCGGGATGACATGTATGGACGATCTCTTGTGTCAAAATTCGAATTAGAACAGTCCGCAGTTGTTTTATTACATCTTTGTCCATCAAACGTTCATTTTATGTTTTAATATTGAAAAAAAAACGATGAAAAGTCACAAATATCCAGATTATTTACAAGGTTGATGCAGGGAGTTATTCTTCAGGCTCATCGTGACAGGGGCACCAAAACTCAGAATGTCGACGCACAACACGAACTGGCGTGCAGAAACGTAAATGTGTCCAGTGCTGACATGTAGGGTGGGTACATTGTGCCCAGGTTGTTATGATCAGGGAGACATTAGCTCGAACCTCATCAGGTACAAATTTGCTACATTTGCAGCACAGTTCGTCATCACTTGTCACATCACTATCAAAACTATCGTCCTGATGCGCGTTGGACCGTGAAGTTCCAGTACTTGCATTCGTTGCAGTGACAGTATTATTTTTTTTTATAGATTTACTTGGTTTAGGTGCTTGCTTTCTTTTTTTGGGTGCCGATGTCACAGTCTGGTGGGAAATAATTTTATTCAGAATGACGTCTTCGGTGATGGCCTTGCCCCCGACAACAGCGCTCAGAACGTTTCTCTTTTTAGTAGGCACAGCTTTCTTGAAAAGTACAGTCGTCTTGTCTTTAAAGAATCCTGCTACATCATTGCCCTCAGTAGGTGAAGTGACAACCTTGTCTCCAACTTGCACACATGAATCAATAACACCAGTATCAGGATGCAGCAAAGGTTCAGTCGACTTCAAAACTGTTGATGGCGCAAAGTTGATATTGGCGGTGGAAGACTTGTCAAATGGATAGACTCCACATTTCCTGAAAGAGGATTGCAGATTTGTTGGTGTCAGCGACAGGTTATAAGCTCTACAGCCAAGTTCACAAACAGAATGTTTATCAACTGAACTTGTGGCATTTTCCCGCATATACGTATGACGGAGGTTGTTGTAAATTTTAGCAAAAGGTCCAAAGCAACCAACATCCATTGGCTGTAAAACATGGGACGTGTGTGCAGGCAGTACAAACAAAATAATGTGATGTTGACGTGCCCATTCGATGAGCGGAATAGATACGTGGGATCTATGACCATCATACACAATAAGAAGTGGACTATCTGCAGACGCGGCGACAGCATGCTTCAGGAAATGCTCTGTCAGATAGTGCTGAAAAATCTCCGTGTTTGACCAGCCAGAGTAGCTTACAGTGCCTGCTGCTCCAGGGGTACTTCCTGAAAGGAGTTCTTCCCGCATCCTCTTGCCCTTGAATACAAAATACGGTGGTATAGAACTACCAGACGCATTGCCGCAACCTATAACCGTTGTAGTACTTGATCTTGATGTTGTGACTGCAGCTTGAGTACTCTGACTCGATGTAACAACTGATGGTGGGGTATGATGCTCCATAAGTCCCTTTTCGTCAACATTATAAATGCGATGAGGGCATGTCTTCAGGTTGTACTTATCCATGATGTGCCCAAGCTCATTAAAATAATGAGTGATCGTCTCCTCTGAGGTAGCTTTTGCTCTCTGTATCTCAAGGGATCGTGGCTTCTTCACTGACAGATCAGGCCATCGCTTCATAAACCCATAGAACCACTGAAGTGATAGGGGTTGTTCATCCTTTGACTTCTTTCCAACATATATTGCTAGGTCTGTGGCAATAGTAGTAACTTCAGCCCTTGTATAGCCATACCTAAAATTTGCCATGGCTTCAATATGTGAAACAAGTCCCTGTTCTTCTTCCATGGGCAATAGTGGTTCTCTACCAGTGGTACTACATTCAATAGAAACCTTCCCACTCATCCTGTCATGCAGTGTAGCAAATGGAACAGCAAAGGTAGTGGCAGCTTTCCTAATTGCCATTCCATCTAAAACAGCATTATATGCCTTGTCTAGGGCTGCAGACAAATATTGCCTATATTGACCTCTTCTGGTTGGTTCACCATTGGTCAAAACCTGTAAAAATAAAGGTTTATTTTATATATCACCAAAACTCCAGAGACAGAAGTTCTCAAAAAGCCTAACATTTTCAATAAGAAATGACCCTAATTTGTTTCCATAGTTTTAAATTTTGGCGAGCACATCACGTGTCTCATCACGTGACATTTATACCATGAACGTCAACAAGCAGACGACAGGTGTGCCGTCGATTTACAACGTGTGCATTTATTACAATTGACATTTTATTTGAGCTGATCAAGTTACATTAGTGATCTCGGGTTAAAAAGTAGTTGTTTGCTGAATATGAGCTATTACTTACGTTTGGTAACTTGACACGAAGCATTTTCCGGTCCAAGCGAACGAAAGCGGTGTTGTCAGAAGATCAAAGCTGCAGGTACCGTAATTTCTCGTTACATTTCGCGAGAAATATCATTCAAAATGGCCGATCGAAGTTACATGTCGATCGAACTTGTGTGACTTGACGATATATAACATCCCATCGATAGTGTCTCTACAAGGCAGTATGTGTCTATTTCAACTTCATAGTTTAGATCTCCCCAAAACATGCAAAACAATGCTGAAAGTACAGTTTGGTTTGTTTGTTGTTTAACGCAGCACTCAGCAATATTCCAGCTATATGTAAATAATCGAGTCTGGACCAGACAATCCAGTGATTGATATCATGAGCCTCAATCCACGCAATTGGGATCGATGACATGCATGAACCAAGTCAGCGACAGGATTTATTTAGGTAAATTAGCTTGTTCCAGTATATAATCTCTGGGACGCAATATAGTCCTGGAAAATATTCACACAGAATTCCAATCCAGTTTGCAGTGGCAGCTGTATTGAAATGTGGTTGGGCCCATTTAGTTCTGTTTAGAGCCATTTAAGAATTGACTTCAATATTATTTTGTATTTATCATGTCTATAGGGGCATAATAAACATTAAAATTGGTTTGCATACTGTGTAAATCTGCATAACAGATTTACGCAAAGTGTGACACTATTATTTTACTTTTTTATTCGTTTATGTACTAATCATGGTTACTTGGAAATCAATCTGAAAGAGTTGTACTGTCTAAATAAGGGATTAAGTTATTTATAAATCATATTAAAAAAAGTATCTTGACGAAAATAAATTCTAAAGTCAATGTTAGTAGGAAAAAGATGTTAAAAGCCGAGAGTAAAGTTGCAGAGTTGTCTTCACATGACCTCATGTAACAGTGGAGAGTCTTGTGTTCGGCAGATTACTATTGTTTCTGTCTAGTGTTTGGTAGATTGCTAGCATTCACCATGGCGTCACCAGACCAGACAATGTAGCAGATGAAAACATTGAAATTTCATTCAATTACCTAACTCATAATATTCATCCATATCTATCAAGTGAAGACGATCAATCAGATGGCAACACAGAAAGAGGGAAAGGGAACACCAACTGATATTAAATGCTGTTTTGTTTTTTTGCAAGAGAATTATTCTTGTTCTGTAAAATGTGCCAAGTGTAGAATGACGCTTACCATTGTGGAAACATGTACTCGTAAAACTTGACTCTCATGCTGCAGATATTGAAGTAGTCTGGAAAAGACTGAAGCAGTGTTTGAAGTTAAGGGGGTCCTTCAGGTTGCTCCTATAGTAATTGAATCCAGGTACAGTGGAACCCCACTTATCCGGACCCCAGATATCTGAAAACCGATATTTACCATGTTTACATGAAACTAAATTAATACTACATAAAATGCTTCATTTTTCTGGAAATCCGGTTTCCAGATCCGGACAGTGAATTTCATTTACCAGCAGTGCAAAATATGCAGTATTGCGTCCAACTTACCGGACAGCAACTACGCTTGACAATGTTTGTTTTGCAATTCCTCACCCGACACCTAACATCAACCACGCAGGTATCATGTAATCACAATGTCAAACGAATCATGTCTAATGATGTTTTATCACCAATTTCGCATTTTAATTTACCAAGTTTGTTGTCATCTGAATTTGCTGATGGGATACAATGCACTTTTTTACTGCGCAATACTCAAATAATCTCATGTATTATATAATAGAGGGTTTTTTGCCTCTGTAGAATTTGGGTAGGGGAGGTAACTCACAAGGGATTCAGATATCCGGAAATTTGTTTATCCAGACAATATTTGTGAAAAAGCAAGTGTCCAGATAGATGAGGTCAACTGTTCCCAATAATTGTTTTAGTTTCACATTATGGCCCTGACAAGGACCCTTGACTTTCATGCTTAATTCTGCACTGAGATGTTGCCTTAGCTTTTCCCTTGTTAATTCCTTTTCCTTAATGTGACAAATGGATGTGTACATATATCACGTGATGCATTGCAGGTTCCACGGGAGATGTGGAACAGATGAGGGAGATGATGGAGACAGCTAGTATTGGTGTCCCATTACCAAAGTCACCCTTCCACCTGGCATGTACCTATGGACAAGTTGCCGAAGTTATGAAACTTATTGAGGTCAGTGTGTTACATGGGACAAAATAGTTTGTAACATACAGTCGAGGTGCACAGTATTACCTGTTTACCACAATATGAAATACTAATGAATATGGATCAGAATATGTTTGGAAAATACCGGTCTATTGCGTTTTTCAAAATCATGCATATCTTCATTTTTTGGAAAAGTTTACATAAGTGACAAGTAGAGTTGAAATTATGAAATATGTAAATTGGCAACGTCGTCCTGCGATTAAAAAATGTGAAACTATTTGTGACAAGTATCCTATATATAATATGTCTATGGCAACATCCAAGAATTGTCCTACAGGTGGGAAACAAATAAGTAATTTTTCTGTTTTTGAAAAAGTTGAAATATGTTGCCATGTACGGTGTTAGTGTAGCAGTCATTACTGAGTGCCAACCTGCTAGTCTGAGGTAGGGCACCTTGTCAGATGTTGGATCACTCACCGCCCTGTTACAGAAGTAAGCTTGTCTCGCCATTTCCCCTCTTTTAGCCCAATGTCTTTCAGTCAACCCTGTTGTAATTTCTTGCCTGCACACTTGGTGGGGTTGGCATTCAACACAATAAAAAAGTAAACTTTCTGGGTTTATTTATTTTTCAATTTGAAATTTATTTTGTAACAATGAACATGATGGTTTCCTAATTGTCATAAAAAACTTTTGTTTCTTCAACATGTTGCTAGAATATCTGTTGATACAGGTGTCAGATAAGTCCTAATGTGTTTTTCAGGACGGAGCAGATCCTGGCCAAGGTGGTGGTGGCGAGCGGACACCCCTACACGATGCCTGTGTAGGGGGCCACACCGAGTGTGTCCGGATACTCTTACAGCATCTTGACAGCATCGACATGAGCGACCCACATGGACAGACTCCACTACATCTGGCTGCATATAATGGAGAACTCAAGTGCCTGAAGCTGCTGGTCGACAAAGGTGAACACTCCTTGACAAACTGACAGTTTCCTATTTAGTGTTGTCAAACATAGACTGATTATAGTAGTAATCATTCAGAACTAAACACTGGCTCTAAAACGATCTACATGTATGAAGCTGATGTAAGATTATGACAGTGAGGGAATATAAATGTTGAAAACTTCACAGTTGGGAAATTTGCTCTCAATGAACGTTACTCATATTGCAATACTGATGATAACATTACATTCTACCATGAATTTGGAAAATACTCAAACCACAATAAGCAACTAATTGAAACTACCTGCAATTTTAAAACCACATCATGACAGAAGCTAATATTTAAACTAAAAACTAAAAACTACATTTTTAAAATTATTCTATCTTGCACTATCCATTTCTTCTTTGATTCTATGTGGAACCATGGTTGGGATTCCTCTTGATACAGCGCCTAACTGGGCCGCCCACTTGGATGGGAGAGCTTCCCCCAAACTTAGACTTGTACCTTCATATTCCTATTGCTTCATCCTGTCCGCTGCCCTGATGTATATTACCGCTCTCATTGGAATCCGACTTTCAATCGCCTTCAACATGAAGAATCTTGTTGTTCTTCTCCCTCTCATAGATGTTCATCACGGATAGCAGCTCGTAAAGGATTGCCGATCTCGTTCTGCTTCATCGTTCCTGGCTACCGGCAACTCCTGGTCTTGATAGCTTGACTTTCTCTCCAACTTTGTCACAGCCAGCTCCTCTTGGCACCGGTTCCTCCGATTATGGATCATCCCTGGCTGATGAAGATTTGGATCATCCCATCTCCCCCATCATCCCATCTCCGAGTGCTTTGAACCCCCTGAACCCATGCTTTGTGTGGAGGATTCTGGCACCCATACATTGTTAAGACTGCTATTACGAAGTTCATACACACCAACGCAGATCCAAACGTCCTTCTACAATATCTAGAGTTTACGCAATGTCTTCTCCATCAATAGTTGTCTCGTCAATATAGGCAAGTCTGAGACGACTCCCATTCAACCACTCCAGTTTATCAGACGCCCATCTGTGCACGATGTTCGTTGCTCCGGAATGATGGTCAAAGATCAAGCATCTTGTGCCACTGACACTCAGACAACCACTGTATGTGGTAGCAGATCCTTGGCCATCCTTCAGCCAGTGCTCCTTCAAGCCCTTCATCCAGAGCGATGAATGGCAGATACTGAACTCGCTACCACTTCCTCTGCATCTGCACTTTCAGTTGTGGCTGGTATCATCAAACTTGCGACAAAGTCTCTTTGCAGACGTTTGTCCCAAAGCCATACCTCCTGGTCAACTCATCGACCATGTGCAGGGAAGCCCACTTCCACGATCTACAGGTAGCAGGGCACTGGTTCATCAAAGAGAAGCAACTTCACATCAACAACCTCGAGTTCAAGGCTGTCATCCTGGTGGTGTCCCATTGGTCCGAGCTTCTTTGTGCGGCACACCTCATGATCCAGATGGATAATGTCTCGGTCGTCTGGTATCAACAAGCTGGTTTCCAGGAAGTCGATGTCGCACCTGTCGCTCTCCATCTACTTCTTCCAGTTGATCAACTCCCTCAACATTCACGTGCAAGCGAGGCACATTCCGGGGATCATCAACATGAAATCCGACTCCCTGTACTGACCCATCAGACTGTCCGTCACCAATAGAATGGTGTCTCCACTCATCGATCTTCTATTGGATTTGCCAACTCTAACCGACCCCAGCAATCAATCTGTTTGCAACAAGGTTCATCGCTCAGTTATCTTGATTTGTCTCTCCAATCCCTGATCCTCAAGTTTGGGACCACAATGCTCTGGTGATCTCATGGGAAGGTCTCATCATTTATGCCTTGTTACTTTGGGTCCTTCAGAAAGTGACTACCATGAGACTCCTTACACTGATTTTGGTTGCGCTGTTTTGGCCAGCTCCATGTTAGTTAACCACTTCAAGATGGCCTGCAACTGCTGCATGTGAGAACCATTGTCTGGATGTTAACAGCGAGATCGGCTGTTTATGAACCCATCACTTGCATTGAGTCTACTTGGAAGCTGCGAGACCACTTAGGTACTCCCAGATTAGACTCTTCATCCCAAAGCGTTCGAATCCAAAGTCTCCCATACCACCACCTCCTTTTGGCTCCGGTCGACCATACTATAGACCCATACTTTTGTGGGATTGCCGCCCTAGATCACGTCCAATCTCGACACCGTCACCTCTAATATGGCCTTGCACAGCAATTGCACCCCATCTGCCATTATGAAAGGGTGATGTTGGAAGTCAGATGTGGTCTTTGCTTCCCACTATCCTCGTGACATCTCTGTTACAGACTTCCAGGGCCTTCATCACAGCAGCTGTTGACTGCCCTTCAGCACAGATAACCAATGCGAGGAACCCACTACTGCTCATTCGTACTACGCTTCGTGTATACACAGAATAAATCTTGGAACTTTGGCTCCTGTGTTTATTGGTTTTTTTATTATTCAGGCTCCCAGCCTGAGTACCCAACTGGAAGTTGGATTCGTTCAAATGTAGAGACTTAGGTCTTCAATATCTAAGTTGTCGCAAGGCACGTCCATTTCGACGGTGTCATCTCTGCCTTGAGCATGTGTTGTCAGGTGCAGGCTTGAAGATCCTCTTGTGGATATTGTTGATCGATTCTCTTCTCGTCTTTGGATGATTCAGTCCCTCGGGCGTGATTGATAGCTTTGACTAAGCGTGAAAAGAGATGCCGAGCAGGCGCACTTCATTGTCCATGGGAGATATTTTTGTGTCCTGTTTTGTAGAATCAATTTTCTGGAGACCCCTTCCAGGGCCTAGATTTTCGAAACGATCGTAGCCCTAAAATTTAAACCTGGGCTACTGACCAGCGCTTCAAGCAGAGTAGGTCAACTGGTGGATCCCTGGACTCTGCAGCCTCTACATCTGGCCCTGGGGGTGGCGTGTCGGCCACACCCAAGAAATCAGTTGATAACGACCCGCCTAAGTCAACTTATGTTTTCGACAAGACACGTGACCGTTCGCCTGCTGATGATACTACCCGCACAACTGATCTTCGTTGATCGGGAGTGTCACTCCGCCACCCCCGTTACGACGGGACCAGCTCGTGACGAGGACCATAAGGGGACTACGGTCCCCAGTCGGTCCGTCTCTCGTCCTACCAACGACGATAGGTCGACAGTGAACACGGATCCCACTCTACAAGTCGTTCCCGACCCCGGACAACCCGGCTTTGATAGGCCAGATCACGGCGGCGGCATGCCGTTTTCGTCACCCATGAGTAGGGACTTGGATTGGGGGCTACTCTTCAAGAAACCAGCGCCCTCCAAGATTCTTGTAGTAGACAGGCATTGGGGATCCATGGACACTGCTGTTCGTCACCAGCTACAACCGCTTGCTATGCTGTCGACAGCGAGCCAGCGGTGGAGGTAGTGAGGTCCCTTCCCCCGCCATCACCGTCGTCGGAGTCTACTACCTTTAGACGAGCTACCGGTAGGGGGAAGACTTCATCACACGGATCATGAAGACGGTCGTACAATGGCTCCATCGGCAGGCGATCAGGGTCGCCTTCTACCTAGACGAGCCATCTCCTACGGGCGACAGGCTCACTAAAATACCGGAATTGCAGAAAATTCTACGTGCCTTCATGGTTGAAGGTGAGTCACATTAATTCCGACTGCCGGCCTGGGACCTCGATATCGTTCTGCGCTACCTGTCTAGTTCGACTTACGAGCCTTTCGATCAGGTCGCGTTCGACATTGTCTCAGAAAAGCCCAGTTCGTGCGCTTCGTATTTACCTGCAGCGATCTGAACAGCGACGACAACATTTTCGACGGCTGTTCATGCTGCTCTCAACCAATGCAAAGAAAGAGATTACACGTAATTCTCTCTCCTTTTGGTTGAGAGCGGTCATTCTCAGAGCTTACGAGGCGCAAGGACTTGCACCTCCCACCTCCTCTCATCTGCAGGAAGTTCGAGCCATAGCTTCAACATGAGCACACAGTTTGGTCCACTCGTAGTGGCACAACCGATCTCCCAGAAAAGACAGTGAATTTGTGCTTTATTCACTTTGGACTTTTTGCTCGACACTTCGTGCCAGATAACAGGTTACAATAAAAACTGTTGGTGAATGTACGCATTCTTATGGTTTTTGGTGCATGCAGTACTCCGGCTGTTTTATTATGGTTATTCGGTGTATGCATCGTCTTCCCACACTTTATAGTACTGCTCGTATTTTTTAGTTACCTTGTATACTGCGAGTTGCTCTGTAACTAAATTATGCGCCGACCACACTTCGATCGCAATTCAACTGACGTGTGCAGTTGTCTTGTCGCATCGATAATTAGTTGTGTGTCGAAGAGCATTAACCATGCTATTTTTCGTTACCTTGGATACGACGAGTCGTTCTGTAACTACTTTATAAGCCAACCACACTTTGATCGCAATTCAACTGACGTGTGCAGTTGTCCTGTCGCATCGATACTTACTTGTGGGTCGAAGAGCATTAAACATGCTGTTTTAGTTACCTTGTATACTAAGCATTGCTCTGTAACTAAACTATACGTCGACCACTTCGATCGCAGTTCAACTGACGCGTGCAGTTGTCCTGTCGCATCGATACTTAGTTGTGTGTCGATGAGCATTAAACATGCTGTGCGTTCGTGATAAACAATTTGCCTTGTCCATGCATCTGGTTGAATGATCTATTGTCACTACAGGGGTGAGGAACTTGGTACATTCGACGTGAAAGAGGTCACTTCCTGATTACTTTCCCGACCCTCCTTCCAGTGTTCCTTCGAATTCTACCCATTTGTATGACTGAAAACAGACTAAAACATGGGTTTTTCAGATTAAAAACGATGTTTTATTGGTCTGTTTTCAGTCGTACGTTCCCACCCAGCCATCCCCACTGGGAAGTAATCCAGTCCAGTCCTGCTTGATGGCTTATTCTTCGAGATTTGTGACATGTCATAGGGAGGTGCGTGCGCAACCTGACGGAAACAAGTTTATTGTTTACATTCTGGCTTCTGGCTTCCTTTTAACGTGCGACTAGAGGTATGAGATACCCATTTGTACGACTGAAAACAGACCAATAAAACATCGTTTTTAATCTGAAAAACCCATTTCTATCCAAGTGCATGCTGAAGAAGTGTGGAACAACATACCTTTTTGATAATTTGGGAAGGATAAAAACGGAAGGCTACAGTAATGACCGTGACCTTATTGATAACTCAGGGGGAGCTAATCTTAGTTCAAACTCTAGTTGAGAGTGGTTTCCCTTTGTATTCGTCCGGGACACCTTGCTCAATGTTACAGTTTTCAAAAAGCGCAGTTATATTTTCTGGATCGCATTTGTGTCAATGCTTTAGTCTTTATTTTCGCATTTTATAAAGTTATATCAATCTACAAATGTAAAAAAAACCCATAAAGGTTTCGCATAAGATTTTTTTATCTAAAATCGTGTGGGACGGGTGGTTTTAATAACTGAATTTTCACTATACAGTGAAGTATTTATTGACTTAACAAGGAAATACATGTGATCAAATATTTGTATACAATATTTAATATTTTTCTTGCAAAAGTAATTGTAATTTGTTTCGTTTTAAATTCAATACCTATGTTATCTATATCCTCTTGAAAGACAAATATTTGACAAAAAGTGATTAAAAACTGTCTGTTGAACAATTGCATTCTTTAAAAACAGGTGATTAACGGCATATAGATGTAATTTACTGAAATTTGGACAGCAAAAGTTAAGCACAGATTTACGTATCAACAAATCAAATAAAAAATGGGTTCCCATGCTCATTCTGGTTCTCGTAAAAATGTAGCATCATTTGCACATTGTCCAAAATTCACTTTCCAATATATGTTCGCAGAAAAAAACACTTTTTATACTTTATATCATGCTGTTGCGTCTGACTAACATATCGGGATTGTATCACCAGTTTTTATGTTTTCCCGCTCACAAGTTATAGCTTTTATGACACTGGGCAATGTTTTAGAGACTTTATTTCACTATCTAGCACCAGCTTCCTCGTGTATGTCTCACGGGTCTAGTCTATTACAGGCTAGGGTATCTGCGCCCTCCCATCCACCCATGGGATAAATGCATAGGGAGATAAGTTTAGAAATTTGAAGTTGTATAATAGATTCTATATTTACCTACTTATCCTATCTCATACGTTATAAGCCCTCCAGACCATCCCCACATCACAGTTCCTCTAGCCTGTTAGCTCTGACAAAAAAGAATAATGTGGCAGGGGTAATGAAGTGATAAGGTCCGGGTTACAGTGCGTGACCCATTTGTTTGGGTTGTACCATTGTGATTCTGGCATGTGTTCGGGTGAATATTTTTTAGAGGCTGGAATCTCTGTTCATCATGTTTCCACATAGGACTGAAGAAGAAAGAAGAAATGCATAATGTGAGATAGGATAAGAATATAAATATAAAATTTATTTTTGAAATTGTCAATTCTGTTTCAATCAGGCATTTTGAAACAATGAACTGCATGATCATAGTAGTCTTCAGTTTTCAAAGTATTTGTGGCGGTACATTTTGAAAACACACAAGGATAGCCTCTAAAAGTCTGAATTTCTACTTGCATCCACCCCTGTTTTATCTCCTAGTTGATGCAACTTAGTTTTTAAGTAGATTGTTTCTGAGATATGTAAGTTGGAACCAGTAATATTGTGTCTGTACACCTATACCAACTGATCATTTATTATGCAGGTGCCAACCTTTTGGCTGAGGACAAGAAAGGGAGACAGCCCAGCCACCTGGCAGCTATGAGGAACCAGGTTAAAGTTGTCAAGGTGTTGTTTGACCACGGAGTGGACCTCGACAGTCGTTGTAAGAGTGGCAAGACTCCACTACACTACACCGCTCAGTATGGAGGTACACACAACCCTAGTACAGTAGTAGAATCTGCTGTTGTAGAACCTACTCCAGGTGCAGTCTTTCACAACACTGAGGGATGGAGGTACACACAACCCTAGTACAGTAGTAGAATCTGCTGTTGTAGAACATACTCCAGGTGCAGTCTTTCACAACACTGAGGGATGGAGGTACACACAACCCTAGTACACTAGTAGAATCTGCTGTTGTAGAACCTACTCCAGGTGCAGTCTTTAACAACACTGAGGGATGGAGGTACACACAACCCTAGTACAGTAGTAGAACCTGCTGTTGTAGAACCTACTCCAGGTGCAGTCTTTCACAACACTGAGGGATGGAGGTACACACAACCCTAGTACAGTAGTAGTATCTGCTGTTGTAGAACCTACTCCAGGTGCAGTCTTTCACAACACTGAGGGATGGAGGTACACACAACCCTAGTCCAGTAGTAGAATCTGCTGTTGTAGAACATACTCCAGGTGCAGTCTTTCACAACACTGAGGGATGGAGGTACACACAACCCTAGTACAGTAGTAGAACCTGCTGTTGTAGAACCTACTCCAGATGCAGTCTTTCACAACACTGAGGAATGGAGGTACACACAACCCTAGTAGAGTAGTAGAACCTGCTGTTGTAGAACATACTCCAGATGCAGTCTTTCACAACACTGAGGGATGGAGGTACACACAACCCTAGTACAGTAGTAGTATCTGCTGTTGTAGAACATACTCCAGGTGCAGTCTTTAACAACACTGAGGGATGGAGGTACACACAACCCTAGTACAGTAGTAGAATCTGCTGTTGTAGAACCTACTCCATGTGCAGTCTTTAACAACACTGAGGGATGGAGGTACACACAACCCTAGTACAGTAGTAGAACCTGCTGTTGTAGAACATACTCCAGGTGCATTCTTTCACAACACTGAGGGATGGAGGTACACACAACCCTAGTACAGTAGTAGTATCTGCTGTTGTAGAACCTACTCCAGGTGCAGTCTTTCACAACACTGAGGGATGGAGGTACACACAACCCTAGTACAGTAGTAGTATCTGCTGTTGTAGAACATACTCCAGGTGCAGTCTATCACAACACTGAGGGATGGAGGTACACACAACCCTAGTACAGTAGTAGTATCTGCTGTTGTAGAACCTACTCCAGGTGCAGTCTTTCACAACACTGAGGGATGGAGGTACACACAACCCTAGTACAGTAGTAGTATCTGCTGTTGTAGAACATACTCCAGGTGCAGTCTTTCACAACACTGAGGGATGGAGGTACACACAACCCTAGTACAGTAGTAGTATCTGCTGTTTTAGAACCTACTCCAGGTGCAGTCTTTCACAACACTGAGGGATGGAGGTACACACAACCCTAGTACAGTAGTAGTATCTGCTGTTGTAGAACCTACTCCAGGTGCAGTCTTTCACAACACTGAGGGATGGAGGTACACACAACCCTAGTACAGTAGTAGTATCTGCTGTTGTAGAACCTACTCCAGGTGCAGTCTTTCACAACACTGAGGGATGGAGGTACACACAACCCTAGTACAGTAGTAGTATCTGCTGTTGTAGAACCTACTCCAGGTGCAGTCTTTCACAACACTGAGGGATGGAGGTACACACAACCCTAGTACAGTAGTAGTATCTGCTGTTGTAGAACCTACTCCAGGTGCAGTCTTTCACAACACTGAGGGATGGAGGTACACACAACCCTAGTACAGTAGTAGTATCTGCTGTTGTAGAACCTACTCCAGGTGCAGTCTTTCACAACACTGAGGGATGGAGGTACACACAACCCTAGTACAGTAGTAGTATCTGCTGTTGTAGAACATACTCCAGGTGCAGTGTTTCACAACACTGAGGGATGGAGGTACACACAACCCTAGTACAGTAGTAGTATCTGCTGTTGTAGAACATACTCCAGGTGCAGTCTTTAACAACACTGAGGGATGGAGGTACACACAACCCTAGTACAGTAGTAGTATCTGCTGTTGTAGAACCTACTCCAGGTGCAGTCTTTCACAACACTGAGGGATGGAGGTACACACAACCCTAGTACAGTAGTAGTATCTGCTGTTGTAGAACATACTCCAGGTGCAGTCTTTCACAACACTGAGGGATGGAGGTACACACAACCCTAGTACAGTAGTAGTATCTGCTGTTGTAGAACCTACTCCAGGTGCAGTCTTTAACAACACTGAGGGATGGAGGTACACACAACCCTAGTACACTAGTAGTATCTGCTGTTGTAGAACCTACTCCAGGTGCAGTCTTTAACAACACTGAGGGATGGAGGTACACACAACCCTAGTACAGTAGTAGAACCTGCTGTTGTAGAACATACTCCAGGTGCAGTCTTTAACAACACTGAGGGATGGAGGTACACACAACCCTAGTACAGTAGTAGTATCTGCTGTTGTAGAACATACTCCAGGTGCAGTCTTTAACAACACTGAGGGATGGAGGTACACACAACCCTAGTACAGTAGTAGTATCTGCTGTTGTAGAACATACTCCAGGTGCAGTCTTTAACAACACTGAGGGATGGAGGTACACACAACCCTAGTACAGTAGTAGTATCTGCTGTTGTAGAACATACTCCAGGTGCAGTCTTTAACAACACTGAGGGATGGAGGTACACACAACCCTAGTACAGTAGTAGAACCTGCTGTTGTAGAACATACTCCAGGTGCAGTCTTTAACAACACTGAGGGATGGAGGTACACACAACCCTAGTACAGTAGTAGTATCTGCTGTTGTAGAACATACTCCAGGTGCAGTCTTTAACAACACTGAGGGATGGAGGTACACACAACCCTAGTACAGTAGTAGTATCTGCTGTTGTAGAACCTACTCCAGGTGCAGTCTTTAACAACACTGAGGGATGGAGGTACACACAACCCTAGTACAGTAGTAGAACCTGCTGTTGTAGAACATACTCCAGGTGCAGTCTTTAACAACTCTGAGGGATGGAGGTACACACAACCCTAGTACAGTAGTAGTATCTGCTGTTGTAGAACATACTCCAGGTGCAGTCTTTCACAACACTGAGGGATGGAGGTACACACAACCCTAGTACAGTAGTAGAACCTGCTGTTGTAGAACATACTCCAGGTGCAGTCTTTCACAACACTGAGGGATTGAGGTACACACAACCCTAGTACAGTAGTAGAACCTGCTGTTGTAGAACATAAACTGGTGCAGTCTTTCACAACACTGAGGGATGGAGGTACACACAACCCTAGTCCAGTAGTAGAATCTACTGTTGTAGAACATACTCCAGGTGCAGTCTTTCACAACACTGAGGGATGGAGGTACACACAACCCTAGTACAGTAGTAGAACCTGCTGTTGTAGAACCTACTCCAGATGCAGTCTTTCACAACACTGAGGAATGGAGGTACACACAACCCTAGTAGAGTAGTAGAACCTGCTGTTGTAGAACATACTCCAGATGCAGTCTTTCACAACACTGAGGGATGGAGGTACACACAACCCTAGTACAGTAGTAGATCCTGCTGTTGTAGAACCTACTCCAGGTGCAGTCTTTAACAACACTGAGGGATGGAGGTACACACAACCCTAGTACAGTAGTAGAATCTGCTGTTGTAGAACCTACTCCAGGTGCAGTCTTTAACAACACTGAGGGATTGAGGTACACACAACCCTAGTACAGTAGTAGAACCTGCTGTTGTAGAACATACTCCAGGTGCATTCTTTCACAACACTGAGGGATGGAGGTACACACAACCCTAGTACAGTAGTAGAACCTGCTGTTGTAGAACCTACTCCAGGTGCAGTCTTTCACAACACTGAGGGATGGAGGTACACACAACCCTAGTCCAGTAGTAGAACCTGCTGTTGTAGAACATACTCCAGGTGCAGTCTTTCACAACACTGAGGGATGGAGGTACACACAACCCTAGTCCAGTAGTAGAACCTGCTGTTGTAGAACATACTCCAGGTGCAGTCTTTCACAACACTGAGGGATGGTGGTACACACAACCCTAGTACAGTAGTAGAACCTGCTGTTGTAGAACATAAACTGGTGCAGTCTTTCACAACACTGAGGGATGGAGGTACACACAACCCTAGTCCAGTAGTAGAATCTGCTGTTGTAGAACATACTCCAGGTGCAGTCTTTCACAACACTGAGGGATGGAGGTACACACAACCCTAGTACAGTAGTAGAACCTGCTGTTGTAGAACCTACTCCAGATGCAGTCTTTCACAACACTGAGGAATGGAGGTACACACAACCCTAGTAGAGTAGTAGAACCTGCTGTTGTAGAACATACTCCAGATGCAGTCTTTCACAACACTGAGGGATGGAGGTACACACAACCCTAGTACAGTAGTAGAACCTGCTGTTGTAGAACCTACTCCAGGTGCAGTCTTTAACAACACTGAGGGATGGAGGTACACACAACCCTAGTACAGTAGTAGAATCTGCTGTTGTAGAACCTACTCCAGGTGCAGTCTTTAACAACACTGAGGGATGGAGGTACACACAACCCTAGTACAGTAGTAGAACCTGCTGTTGTAGAACATACTCCAGGTGCATTCTTTCACAACACTAAGGGATGAAGGTACACACAACCCTAGTACAGTAGTAGAACCTGCTGTTGTAGAACCTACTCCAGGTGCAGTCTTTCACAACACTGAGGGATGGAGGTACACACAACCCTAGTACAGTAGTAGAACCTGCTGTTGTAGAACATACTCCAGGTGCAGTCTTTCACAACACTGAGGGATGGAGGTACACACAACCCTAGTACAGTAGTAGTATCTGCTGTTGTAGAACCTACTCCAGGTGCAGTCTTTCACAACACTGAGGGATGGAGGTACACACAACCCTAGTACAGTAGTAGAACCTGCTGTTGTAGAACCTACTCCAGGTGCAGTCTTTCACAACACTGAAGCATGGTTATATTCATTAACGTTTTCCAACTATAAATATGACTGTGATAAATTGTACAGAATGGAGCACGTTACTTCAGT